CATTATTTTTTTATAATATTTAACTAATTTTAATTATTAAAAATATATTTATTTAATATACATTTTGTATTAATTATGAATTTGAAGATGTTTAGTAGTGAAAATCAAACATTATACTTGTGTTTAATTATGTCAGCAGGCTGTAATATTAAAGGGATTTAAAATAAACAATTCGTATCGATTTTAACATGCGACTGTGTACGTATCGATATTAATATTTAGAGATTATAATTTTTATGCTAATTAGAAATTACTAATTTTAGTTTTAAATTTACATTAGGTTGTTTGTATTCTACTAAGTTATAAGAGAGGAAAAAATCACTTTGTTTATTTTGATAAAAAGTATTTTTTTTCTGGTTACTTTACTTAGAAATTTGTTCAGATTTTTGATGTAGTTGAACAAAAGAATGTTAATATAATTCGAGATACAAACTTTCGATTAAAGGCGAACAATTTTTTAAATTCCTACAGCAAATGTTTCAAAGTTCTTCCATTTAACTGCACTTATCTGCCTCCTGTCTATCCTCTCAATATGAGAAAACGGAGAAAAATCGATTATCCGAACTAATTTGAGGGACGGGGGGTGTTGGGGAAAGTGATTTGTTCGAATAATTGTTGTTATATTATATTCTTATAAGGTTGATATATCGGAAAATTGACAAAATATACAATAATATGCAAAATTCGTGATGCTTATTGTCATCTTAGTTCATTAAATCACTTCTGCAGTCCACTTAACATTACGAGCCATTATCCCCTTCTTTCAAATAGGATATCTCTTTCAACATATTTCTAATTCCTCTTATTAACTTTTCAGTATTAAAACGAAATTAATAATTGAATAATGTATTCTTTGCATATTCTACAACTTTTAATCGATGAAAAATTAAGATACCATGTTGTAATTTATAAAGCTTTATGTGAGAAGAATTAATTACCATATTATAATAGATTATATTTTCCAAAGTTGTTATTATTCGTGCCATCAATGCATCTTTTAGTTGAAAAACCTGTAATCTATAATGGATTAAATTAATAAAAATTTCTAATTTCTAATGAATGATAGTCAATCAATGATGGATTAGATCATGCAATAAATACAGCCTGCAATTTTCTCTGTGATTCTATACATAGCTTATGTGTGTGCCCTTATTTTCGATTAGGGTGGTCCCCTATGGTCCTTAAGGGAAATTTTGACCTCGTGCTGTTAAGAGAGGACACTGTTACAATAAGTACTCCTTTTAAAATACTAGCGTGTCTATCCCACTCTCGAGGTCGGAAGGGGGTGCACATTAACTACATCATCTGTCAACTGACTAACCAATGTCAGATGGCTGATTGGACATCTCATTTACTATAATCTCGGCTTGTCAAGAAAGTCGTTATTTACTCCATTCTTATTCGTCAGATGGATCATCATTTCTCGGTGACACCTCTTGTTCTTCAACGGTACTGTTTAAGAATAACGAAGCAGATGTAGTATTTATCCATACAATCTTTATTTAAAAGCCTCGGGCTTCAGTGGTCGTGGCCACTAAAGTCATTTTTCAAATACCCATTTGACATTCACCTAAATAATTATGGGAAACCAAAGAAAATCTAAATAGTAAGTAGCAAAGTAGCACAACGGTAACAGAAACCACCCTTTAGCCTGCAGCCGTCGTCTTGCCTCTCTCAATCTATGAGCATCTCACTCACTCACTTACCATTATTAAAATCTTATTATCTTTATAAGATTTAGAATTTTAAACCAAGGAAAGAATTATAAATGAAATCGAAATTATTAAATAGATTTATTACTAGTTGAAGGTCTATTCCTTGTTAAATGAACACTAGATATTCTCACTCCTTTACACCCATATGTCATAATACAAATTGGGTTTAAACATTATCATATTTGCCGACGAAATGATTAAATAATATGTAAGAATATTAACCAGAAACTTAGATAATCCTATTACTAAAAAAGTAATTGTAAAAAGAAATAATGGAACTTAATCAAAACATATCTGTTTTAACGACGGTTAAGAGAATTTAATTAAATAATTCTAAAACTTTGAAAAACTTAGCAAAACATAGTTAGTCTGAAATTGTGAATTCGTGTTTTCTTTAATATATGTCTAGTGCTTAATTACACATATCCTAAGGGAATTGTCAGTAACTTAATTAATTGTACTTTTTCTTCAGTTCCTGCTCATCTGATGTATTTTTTATTGATTATCTTAAGTAAAATCTTTCGTCTACATCATGGTAAAGGGAATTCTTTAAAGTAAATAATATAAAAAAAAAAAAGAGAGAGAGACAGGGTAAGAAAACTCAGAAAAGCCTATCAAAATAATTGTCTTCTTTTACGTTTTAAAATAAATTAAGTTTTTTTTTTTTAATCGTAATTATTTTGTAATAAATTCGTGATAAAATTTTAAATAAGATATCGGTTAAAACTTTATATATTTGGACGATTTAAATAATTTTTAGATTAAAAAAAAAGAATTTCGATTGTCATCAACGTATTGCCACAATTAAAGAAGAAGCATGAAGAATTTTAAAGTATCGCCGTAAAGAAATTTAAAAATGTTAAGTACCGAAACTTCCCTTTCCTGAGAATACTAATTAGACTATTATTGAAAGAGACCGCATGTGACATCATAAAGAGAAAACTTTATTGACTCCAGTGAGTCGTTAACAGTTGAACTCGAATCCAACTGTAGTCGATGCCCTAAGCACATTCATTAAGACTCTCGTATGTCATTTGGTTAATTCCAGTAGAAATAGAACCAACTGGAAACTGCTTTGGGGGTTTGAAATGAACGAATAAAATCACCCAATGTTAGACTTTGAGTACTACATTCTCTTACGTATCAATCACATTTTTATTTAGTATTTATGATTGTTTATTTCATTCTTTCTAACGAAAGATATAATTGGAGTGTCGTTCAGACCTTTGTTATGTTTCTCTTAATGATATCTTTCGAACAATAACGGTTACATTTTTAAACTTGTCTTCTTTAAAATCTCTCTCAGAGCTTATAAACATCGTAAAATATCACCGTTTAGGAGGGGTCATAGAAGATTTGAATCTACAGTCAGACATTTTTTTTTTTTTTTTAATAATTCATTATTTCCTACTGTTTCTTTCTATCACGCGATTATCTATCATCACGAGTTACGTGATGGCGGGGGTAAAAATAAGATTATAGATTACCTCTTGACTACCCGAGGAGTGCCATCGAGTGATTACTAATAACGTCTCTTTAAAAAATTAATATATAATAAACTTGAATAACAACTACACTCGACCCCCTATAACACTGTTGATTTTTCCGTTTTATATGAATTCCATGTTGTACGAGTCACTTAGATTTTACAAATACACAGCCTGGCATATGTATTTGTAAAATCTAAGTGACTCGTACAACATGGAATTCATATAAAACGGAAAAATCAAGTGTTATAGGGGGGTCGACTTGTACCTAAATATTTATCTTGCGATTCAAATAATACAGAAGATATAATAATAATAATATACGGTGAAAGTAGGAAAGAATAATTTTATTAACCAAATAATAAAGAGTATTTTTATTAAGCTAAATACTTTTTAATCTATTGCAATCGATTGGAATGAAATCCTATTAGTTGTGTTGATACCCTGCTGCTCTTGTTCATTAAACAGAAAGAGGAAGCAATACTTGAATGTAATTTGTTTTCCGGAAACACCAAACCAATCTTCAATTATAACAAAATAAAATTAAGGTTTTGTATGTATATAAACTTCTCGATATTAAATATTCATTCTGGGAATTTAAAATTTTTAGTTGAATAAACGTAAAAATGTGTACAGTACACACGTCATGTAAATTTTCTTTTGCGTGATATATGGTCACGGATTTATATACCGTAGCACGAAGGAAGACAATATATATATACTATCTATTGACATTATTATTTTTGGAACATTTTGTGTCATCGTTCGTTGGTCCTCTATTGTTTCGCTCATCGACAATTGACTGTGTAAGTTTGACAAGAGAAAATTATTGTTCCCACAATATAAAACTTATATATATAGAGCTGTCAATCTAGGTTCGAATTTGTCTAATTGTAATCGATGTCCATCTTCGTGAAAAGTATTATTAGAGTACTTCTCAGGCTCGTACATCCGATTTTGATGGTAGCATTTCCTGTTATACAATAGCTTGAACTCTTGAATGAAGTTCAATACGTAATAAACCTAAACTTAGCTGCTACATCATCCATTTTGGTGTAATCTTTCTCATGTAAATCATTCGCCTATTCAACCATATCCATCTAAGATCTTTAGAAATGATCTTTCCATCTTTATCTAGACTATAATTTGACAAAAATTTAAATAAACTGCAGCTTGGAATATAGATTTAAAACTTGAACAGGTGTTGAAGTGTAATCTATATGTATAGCATCATTAATACAATCTCTGTTACTTCCATTTTTTTTTTAACTTGTCTCTTTAATTTGGTTTTAATCATGCAACAGTGCCTTGAATTTTAATTGTCGAATGTTGTAAATATAATTGTCTTTGCCATAAATCTTACAAACAAATGTTAACAGTCAGCAAATCTTAATGGCTCCACAATCTTAAGTACAAGTCGAACCTCCCCTATAACACTGTTGATTATTTCGTTTTATATGAATTCCGTGTTGTACGAGTCACTTAGATTTTACAAATACGCGAGCCATTCACAGCCCGGCACACGTATTTGTAAAATCTAAGTGACTCGTACAACACGGAATTCATATAAAACGGAATTATCAACAGTGTTATGGGGGGGGTCGACTTGTATTTCTCATCTAAATTTTGAATAGAAGAAAGGTAAAACATAAATAAAAATGTCTTTACTGGTAAGATAAAACTATTCAAGAAAGTTGTGAAAGCGTTAATAGTAATGTAAGAAGGATAAAGGAAAAAAAGAATAATAATAGATGACGAAAGAAAATTATGTCTTTTAATTACTTTAAATTCTTTTTAGGTTACATCCAAGAGTTATCCAAGGAGAAGAAAAAAAAAACCAACATGGAATTGTGGTATTTCATGGCAATTTTAACTTTGATCTCTGCCAGGAGAGGAGGTAAGTTGAAGTATTTTATATTTAGAACGGAAGTTAAATTATAATGAATGAAAATTAATTAAAATTTACTTTATTATTTAAATAATTCTGCGTGTAAATTAAATAAATAATTGTTTTCTTATTCCTTTTTTCTCTCTCTCTCCTCTGATGTTTCAAAGATTTTTATAAGTGTTAACGCACTTTAATTTCTGTTTATTATAGATAATTCTGTACTTAATCAGTGATCGTTACTCTGTTTTTTTTTTCTTTTTTTACTTCAGATTTTATGATCAGAAATGTTAATTAAATTTGTGTTAGAGTAATATAAAAGTCATTTAAAGTAATGGAATAGTGAATTCATATTTAAAACACTGAAAAATAAATCGATTTTTCTTGTTTGTAAATATAACAGAAATATAAAATTACGTCTATCATAAAGTATTCTTGATAAATATTCACAATTTAATAAAATAGCTTCGTATTTAAGTATTGTTTAGTGACTTTAATAATGCGTTTTTTTGTATGTTTTTAATGCATTTTAGAATGGAAAACAAAACAAGAATTAATGTTTATATCATTGTTCTATCATTACATTAGATTTCTTAATAAAATGTAAGATAAACAATATTCCAAAAAAAGGAAAGAAATAATAAGTTTCAATTTTGATGTATCCATTTTTATTTTTATTTTTTCATTGCATCTTGGTATATTTCTTTTGCTAAGAAAGCAGAGACGTGCCAAAATATGACTCCAGATTTCATTACCTGCTGGGGTACTCCTATGAATTTACATATTGAAAAATCGTATTAAGCTTAGAAAGTAACATTATATACAGCTGACTTCGGTTTAATAATATTTTCTTTTGGAAAAAAATATATAAATTTTCTGTGGATGACAAGTGAAGAAATCTGCAAACTTGTTTACTTTTCAACTATTCTATAAAAGCTTCTTCTCTGCATCTTCCAGTTTTGAGCTCACCTCAAATTTTATTATAAAACAGACTCTTTTTCTTTTGATATTTTTCTCCTTTTATAATTTAAAAACAAATAAAATAAAGTATAATTCGATCTAAAATAAACCGGTAAAAAGATCGAAATAAACATGAATAGTTATTAAGAAGCTTCTTCTTTCCTGTATTGTTACGAACAAAAGGCTATTATCTATTAATAGAATTAATAATTATCTATATATACTTACCGAGTAATTTAAATTTGTTTATTATAATAGTAAAATTAAGATTATATTCTCAACTTTCGTCAATCATAGAAGAAAAGTACAGTCGATCTCCCCCTATAACACTGTTGATAATTCCGTTTTATATGAATTCCATTTTGTACGAGTCACTTAGATTTTATAAATACGTGTGCCGGATTGTGAACGGCTCAAGTATTTGTAAAATCTAAGTGACTCGTACAACACGGAATTCATATAAAACGGAATTATCAACAGTGTTATAGGGAGGGTCGACTGTATTGTTTTTCCTGTATGAATAAATAATCATAATATAAAAATTACTGAAGATATTTGCACCTCAGATATATTTACAAATGACTTTTGATAGTTTAGTTTCGTGTGAAGCGATTTATTTAAATTGTAAAGTGGATCAATTCTATTTGATATACACTCTCACTGTATTAAACACTTTAGTATTATGATATTCTCTTTATGACTACTTTACCCTGTGGCCTTTAGTTGAAGCTGGATTAGTCGTATTAAATCAGATTATTGTATATCAATATCAGCATTACAATTATATTAAATAAGAAAGGATTATCTGAGTGAAACAAACACGCGATTCTATTTGAATTTAAAATAAAACTTGAGATATATTTAATTAATTTCTTAGAGTAATAATAGAAAAATATATGTAGCAGTCATACAATTAAATGAGAGCGAACAGACTGAAGGTTAGTAATTTTTGACAGCGTAATATTTGAATATTGTAAAAGATTAAGTGCTTGAAGAAGGTCATAATAATAATAAGAAAATGTAGAAAATATAATTACTGTATGGGTCAAGGTAAAAATTTAGTTTCTTATTCCGGTACGATGCTTTAGAATTTTAACTGCAAGAGAGATACTTGGAATGAAAATACTATACATGCAAATGAGAATGCTTGGAAGAAAATGGACCGTAAAAATCTTAGAATAATTTTCAGTAAAAGGGGGGGGAGGAAACAAGAAACAAACGATTTGGAAGAAATTAAAGGTAAGAATTCCAGATGTGTTGGATAAAGAACTAGAATATTTGAAAGAAAATGGGACGAGAAAACCATTAGAAAGGAAAAACTTAAAATGTCTTCGAAGAAATTTAGCACGACTTAAATAACGAATAGACAAGATTTAAGACTACTTTAAAAGAAGTAAACGAAAAAGATACAGAAGATTAGAAAAGAGACACACACACACAAGGCCGTTAAAAGAAAATTGAAAAATAACTACATTAAAACCCAATTGAAATTCTTCGTAAAAATTAAATAAAGAATAACAGAAAAAGGATAATTAATTAGTAAAGTTTTACTCGTTAATAATAATAATAATAATATTCGGCATCAAGTAGTAACTTTTTTTTTTTTACTTGCGATTTCTTCCGAAGTTTACTCTCTGATAGACCTTTTATGCTCGGCTAACCAAGCGCTTTGTTCATCTGGATAAGTTGTTCTGCGTTCCGGTTTCAGTCAAGCAAGTCAAACGATTAGACATGTATTGTGCGATCATTCATCGGAAATAAAAAATGAAGTGGCGGTTCGTAAAAAAGAAAAAAAAAACGCTTAAGTTGATAAATATTTAACACCTTAGAAGAAGAATGCAAACAAAAAAAGACTTTCTAACGCGGATTTGGGAGAGTTTAGGGTCGCCGAGAAAGTCAAGGTTACTCAAATAATTAATCTCCCGTTCCGAAGTGACCCAATTACTCCATGACGTCACAATAAGAAACCATTTTGTTGCAAACAATGGAACAATGATCGAAGAGAGAACGTCCGTATAATAACTTGTCGGTACTCACTGGTACAAATGAGGTCTTTTACAAAGCAAATTTTTCGGGTTTTCAAACGAATTTAAACGCTTTTAACCTATCTTTGTTATAGGAAAACAAAATAAAAAAAGACTTATTGTTGCTTTCCATTTCGTTAACGTGCAAAATTAACCTCGTTAAAAGTCGAAATGATTGAGAGTCGATTCGAAATCATCCAATTTTCTTCTTAAACTACACAAAATAATTGTGCGAATTAATTTAGTTGATTACAAACATTATCTTTTAATGACTAGTGTAAAACGAGATTTGATTTCTTTACTCCTTTCAAAGCAACAAATGAAATTACACTTTACAAAGATCGCTTCTTACATAGAATACAATGGAGACATCTCTTTTATTTCCTATCCTTTCGTATATTCTTTCGATACTTGTTATAAAAACTTAATATTTTCTTTAAATTTTTATTTACATGTAGTAAAATAAAGAATTTAAAGTTATATTATTTTATTTTAACTATAAAATTGCAATTGCAAATTAGTTTATCGCTTTACAATGGTCTTGTATAGAATCTATAAGTTTTATGTTATTCCCATAATTATTGAATGAAAAGATTTATTGGAAAGAAAACAAGATCGAAATTACTATATTTTATGCTTGAATATCTTCAGTAGATTTCAGGTATGTTGTTCCAGAACAATGAAAATAGAAGTGGCACGAATGGAGAAACCATCAATAATTATATTCGGCACCATAATAGGACATTCATCATTGTATTTAGCTATGTGGAAAGCACCATCGTATAGCATATCATTAGAAACCATAATTTACATATATATATGTGTAGTAATTTTCAATATAATTTACAGTATATTATTATTGAAAATGAAATAAATAGATCATAAATAATAAACTTTTATCAGTTTTATTTTAGCTTAAGGAAGAAATTTAAATATAGGCCTATATACATGACGAGAAAACAATAAAATCTACATTTCTAGTGTTGCAGTTTTAATTTTTATTTAGTTTATAATTAATAAACTCCTACATAATGAAAATAAGTACATACGTTCCGTGCAAAATAATAGCATTTACGATATCTCATTAATAAAATTAATCAGCTGTACTGTAGGCGGTCCTTATTATTCTTTTTTTTTTTTTTTACTTTTTATTTTTCGTATACGCAACTCATTGTTACAGATAGAAACTCTCAAAAATTGTTAATTGTCTTTGGGAGGGGAGGAAAAACAAAAACAACAATTTTCTAAATCCATCAATACAAGTTGCGTGTTTACCAGGTGAGGGGTGTTACCAAGCACGGGTTCTGTTTTCCGAGCCCTGGGCAACCGGCTAGGGAAGTTTTATTGCGGCCAACAGACTGTCATGTCCGCGACACGTGAAATATTATCTTCCTTCGGTAAACAGTGGGCTGTCTGTCACGTGACGATCATGCCCCCTTTGTCCCTTGGGGCTTGTCTCGATTCGTTCCAAAATTTTTATATACACAAGTAAATTCTGTTTGGAACTGTTGTTTTTCTTAGTAATTTGTCTTCGGATTTGAAAATATTTTTTTTTTTCTTTTAATTCTGTAACTTTCAAGAAGTTTAGGAATGAATCTTTTTTTTTCTTTATTTTATTTTTTATTCTTCTCTCTTAGAAGAGTTAGAGGGATAGAAAACTAAAAGCATACGTGTTAATATCTTTAACTGAATATAATACGTTAATAAATAGGTTTCAAACGTGAACAGGATATGAGTATAGATGACTTTAAGCTACAGGTTGGTGTGTAGACTTTAATAATAGTAAAGCTCAAGGTCGACCGGTGATGGAATGGCTTTTGTCATTGCTCTGAGTATACTGTATCATTGTTAACTTTCGTCAAAAGTTAACTTTTTTTTAAATTTTAATAAATATAAAATTCAAACTTTAATCTAATATAATTATATTTATCTATATAAAAAAAAGCTTAAGTCTATACAGTCGACCCCCTTATAACACTGTTGATTTTTCCGTTTTATATGAATTCCATGTTGTACGAGTCACTTAGATTTTACAAATACGTGAGCCATTCACAGCCTGGCACACGTATTTGTAAAATATAAGTGACTCGTACAACATGAAATTCATATAAAACGGAAAAATCAACAGTGTTATAGGGGGGGTCGACTTGTATATATAAATATTCTATATTTACATTTATTTTTTAATAACGAAATGTTAATGTTTAATAATAGATGTGTTTTTATTATCATAATTACTAAATATAATAAAGTTTTTATTATTATTATTGATGATCTACAAACCGGACAAGCTTGTTTTCTGATTAACCATGTAATTAAAAATTTAATAAATGCTATTACTAATGTGAAAGTACTCGTCTTTCAATACTTATTACAATTAAAGTTTATAGAGATTTAACGACTTAAATTAGTTAATAATTTATAGAAGTAGAAAAATGTATTTATTTGTCTCTTATCAAAAGTTTTCTATTATTATTATTATTTTTTTTAATACTAACCTCTTCTATACCATTAATATAATGGGGGAAAAAATTAACAGAGGAAATGGAATGTGTGCAATAGGAAGAAAAAGATCTATTGCTTATGACCGAATGAAAAACAATTCTATTGTATTTTATTGTTCAATAACATCTTCGAATTAGGTTCAAATTGTTGTGTAAAGGCAGAAAGCAATCATTTACTGTTGACCACAACTCTCCAACTACGAGGTTATAAAAGTCAGTTTAACTTCTTCATCAATTGACCCACTTTAATAAAAATTTTTTGGAACGAAACCAATTTCTTCGCTCGACCGAACAATAATTTTTCTAGCAAAATTTTTTAAATGAAAAGAACAGGTTTTAAAACATCTTTTGTACTTTGGTGATTTCATACCTTTCTAAACGAGAATTCCAATCGAACCGAAGAATTTCATTAGAAATTCTGTCAAGAAAAAAAAAAAAATAGAGAAAGTATTTAATAAAAAAAATAAATAAATTTGGGAAGAGATAACACGTTTAATGAGCTATAATAGACAAATAAGATGATATTTTTTTGTTACTGAACTCTCCATTGAATACTATAAATAACATCTAATACTTCAAATGCAAAATAAAGGCTACTCACGTATCACTGCGGTATTTATAAGATTGCCATAAAATATACATTATACAGTAATTTTCGAATAATATGTACTTGGTTGATTTTATTCTGCTATAAATTAGAAGGAAACAAAGAATATGTTATACAACACTCTTTTATAATCCCATTACACACAGGCGTAATTAATTAAAAATGCGATCTTTTACAAAAGTATAGAATTTCTCTTCTATTGATAAGAGTAAAAAGATGGAGGAGATTCGATATGATTCATTATATTAAAACAAAAGTAGACTATTAAAATCATACTGTTACGTTATATAAAGTTCACCTCACACATTGATCTATTTATCTTTTGAGGTGGAGAGGTTACAACTTAACGATGGTCAGTGACATTGAAGAAATTACAGTAGAACGTTTCCACCTGGATCTAATGATTGTGTTTGTCTAGTCTAAATGACTACTACCGGATAAACCAGCATCCTAGCCATCTGCAGGTGTGCGTGTGACACACCGGATTGAAGTATGGTAAACCAGATATTGGCATAGAATTAAAGTTAAATAAAAAAAAAAAGACTAGCAAAACTATTTTAATTAATTTTATCGTGATTAATAATCTCACATTAGTAGTTAAAAAAGTTTTCTGTTTATCTCCTTTTTGAATCATCTACTTACTACTCACCTGTTAAGAGCAAATTCACATATCATTTTATATACAGTCGACCCCCCTATAACACTGTTAATTATTCCGTTTTATATGAATTCCATGTTGTACGAGTCACTTAGATTTTACAAATACGTGTGCCGGGCTGTGAACGGCTTACATATTTGTAAAAATTAAGTGACTCGTACAACATGGAATTCATATAAAACGGAATAATCAACAGTGTTATAGGTAGGGGGGGTCGACTGGTATCTTACATTTTAAGTCTGATAGAAGGAAACTCTCTTTTATCGATTATAAAATTATAATTTAAGTAGTTTGAAAACTATGTTATCGCAAAATAATTTGATAATATATTTGAATATGAAAATCAATGCGTGTTATTAGCAACTTGCTAATGAACTGTTAATTTATCGATGATTCCGATGTCATTCATTTAAGCTCAACTGACAACGGACTCATTGTTTGGTCATTATCGGTTCTAACAAAAGAAAAAGATCCACTTGGACTTCCACTACAAATTTCCTAATTCTTCCATATTGATTGAACCTATACTTTTACCCATAAAAATGAAAATTAAGACATATTAGAAGATCGTTAGTAATAATAATAAAAAAATGGTTCGAATAGCCATTAACATGTAACTTACCTTCGAATTAATCTTCTATACAAAGCAAACATCCACAAAAATAAAATTACAATCGGTAAATAGAATATGATTGATTACGAGAGTTATAAGTTTTTCTGTCGTTGTATTGAACGAATATGAAAGGGAAACATGTTCATAAAGAAGATTCTAAAGACGTCTTTCTATCCTATAAATGTTCTCTGACGCGTAATCTTCGTGATCTTGAGAAATTAGTATTGTAACTCCTTCATCAAAATTCAGCTCGTCTTTAATACTAGACTTTGCCAACCTTTAACTTATAATTGTGCTCGGTATAACAAGCTGACATCACTAAAATTCGTGAATAGAATAAATAATCAGGTGTTCTATCTTATAATTTTTCTTCAATTCTTTATTAATTTNGTAAAAATAAGATTATAGATTACCTCTTGACTACCCGAGGAGTGCCATCGAGTGATTACTAATAACGTCTCTTTAAAAAATTAATATATAATAAATAAACTTGAATAACAACTACACTCGACCCCCTATAACACTGTTGATTTTTCCGTTTTATATACTCCTTCATCAAAATTCAGCTCGTCTTTAATACTAGACTTTGCCAACCTTTAACTTATAATTGTGCTCGGTATAACAAGCTGACATCACTAAAATTCGTGAATAGAATAAATAATCAGGTGTTCTATCTTATAATTTTTCTTCAATTCTTTATTAATTTCTTTACTTTTATATTAATACTAAAAACATAACAGTTGTAATTATTTATTCCTTTTCCTTTCTATACTTTCTCGTTTTTTTTTTATAAATAGTAATGATAATAAGATTTAATAATTTAAATTACTGGTTATATAAATCGTAGCTCAATGAACTATATATAAGAAGGACAATTCTCTCGTAGAAGAAATGTCGGATGAACACAGTTAATCTGATAGCATCGAGTTGTACAGGTAGTTGAACACCTGTGAAGATCGTATCCATCATAAGTAGAGAAGCAAGTCCCAACAAAAATAGCATGGCCTGTTTATATTGCTATTCCATTTTTTAGTTGTAAAAAAAAAATATATATATATATATACAGTAATTTTTTTAATAGAAAACTTATATAAAATGCTAGGAAAATGGTAATAAAATTACTTAAAAGTCTGTTTTGTTATTCAATTACTAACTAACAAAGGTCTTTATCTAGAGTATTAAAAGTAAATATACTTATATATCTCTAAGGATTTTAAGAAAATAAATTATCACAGAGATCTAATTTAACATTTAAATGCCTAAAATACTTTAAAAAAAAGAAAGTAAAACTGTATGATAATATTTAATGACATTTAATTAGGCGAGTAATTAAGGATAATTACAATATTTTTATTTTAAAAAATTACAAAAAAAAAGACATTAATAAAGCTTACTTTAAATATTCTTTTGTATCCAGAGAATGATGTAATAAAAGTAAAGAAAACTTTTATAGAACAATAATAGTAAATAATTGCCACCTCCCCTGCTCTGTAAATCTCTGCATCCTTTATGGCGAATAACAATATGGTAACGTCAGTTGCCCAACAGACTTAACACGAACATAAATGTCTGAAAATGGCATTTATACGATCATCCATTTACTTATATACTCTCGTGACATATATCGAAGGTTCTGTTTTAAATCCTTGTACTTATTACTTTATTATGTATACAGACATTCCTTTTATCTGTTAACTTTTCGTGTAATTTATGTTACATTTAATACGTTTCATTTATTCTTAAGTTAAATATAGTAACCATAAATTTGATTCAATTATGTGTAATATATTTAACAATAAAAGTTTTCGTACTTTCGATGTATATACAAATAATTGACGATATCTTTATAAAATTTATAGTTAATGAACCTTATAAACTATATTAAATTAATTATAATATATTCTAAATATCAACAGACTTGAATTAGTTTGCTGTCTAAAACACTTATCAGTCCATTATTCCCAATGCTATCCATCAAAGACAACCTTGGGAATAATGGACTCTCGCTATTATTATAACTGATATAAATTCCGTAAATTAATCGTAATAGTAATTATTATTATACTAGAATAGATTTAAAATAATTTTAGACTTAAATAGAGCATTAAGTAATAGTTTATTAATAATATACCAGTCGACCCCCCTATAACACTGTTGATTTTTCCGTTTTATATGAATTCCATGTTGTACGAGTCACTTAGATTTTACAAATACGTGTGCCGGGTTGTGAACGGCTCACGTATTTGTAAAATCTAAGTGACTCGTACAACATGGAATTCATATAAAACGGAAAAATCAACAGTGTTATAGGGGGGTCGACTGGTATATTATTAATAAACTATTACTTAATGCTCTATTTAAGTCTAAAATTATTTTAAATCTATTCTAGTATAATAATAATTACTATTACGATTAATTTACGGAATTTATATCAGTTATAATAATAGCGAGAGTCCATTATTCCCAAGGTTGTCTTTGATGGATAGCATTGGGAATAATGGACTGATAAGTGTTTTAGACAGCAAACTAATTCAAGTCTGTTGATATTTAGAATATATTATAATTAATTTAATATAGTTTATAAGGTTCATTAACTATAAATTTTATAAAGATATCGTCAATTATTTGTATATACATCGAAAGTACGAAAACTTTTATTGTTAAATATATTACACATAATTGAATCAAATTTATGGTTACTATATTTAACTTAAGAATAAATGAAACGTATTAAATGTAACATAAATTACACGAAAAGTTAACAGATAAAAGGAATGTCTGTATACATAATAAAGTAATAAGTACAAGGATTTAAAACAGAACCTTCGATATATGTCACGAGAGTATATAAGTAAATGGATGATCGTATAAATGCCATTTTCAGACATTTATGTTCGTGTTAAGTCTGTTGGGCAACTGACGTTACCATATTGTTATTCGCCATAAAGGATGCAGAGATTTACAGAGCAGGGGAGGTGGCAATTATTTACTATTATTGTTCTATAAAAGTTTTCTTTACTTTTATTACATCATTCTCTGGATACAAAAGAATATTTAAAGTAAGCTTTATTAATGTCTTTTTTTTTGTAATTTTTTAAAATAAAAATATTGTAATTATCCTTAATTACTCGCCTAATTAAATGTCATTAAATATTATCATACAGTTTTACTTTCTTTTTTTTAAAGTATTTTAGGCATTTAAATGTTAAATTAGATCTCTGTGATAATTTATTTTCTTAAAATCCTTAGAGATATATAAGTATATTTACTTTTAATACTCTAGATAAAGACCTTTGTTAGTTAGTAATTGAATAACAAAACAGACTTTTAAGTAATTTTATTACCATTTTCCTAGCATTTTATATAAGTTTTCTATTAAAAAAATTACTGTATATATATATATATATATTTTTTTTTTACAACTAAAAAATGGAATAGCAATATAAACAGGCCATGCTATTTTTGTTGGGACTTGCTTCTCTACTTATGATGGATACGATCTTCACAGGTGTTCAACTACCTGTACAACTCGATGCTATCAGATTAACTGTGTTCATCCGACATTTCTTCTACGAGAGAATTGTCCTTCTTATATATAGTTCATTGAGCTACGATTTATATAACCAGTAATTTAAATTATTAAATCNGACTCGTACAACATGGAATTCATATAAAACGGAAAAATCAACAGTGTTATAGGGGGGTCGACTGTATTCCTATACAAGAAGTTCACGACTTCTTACCTTACCTGTAACTAGTTTGACTTTTAAATAAGCTTATTCTTATAAATAATGATAATACTCCGAATTAGACTGGTTAGTAACAATAGCTATAATAAAATAGATTCATTCTCTAGTAAAACAATAGAGTTTTATTGTATATATATTTTTTTAATTTGGATTAGTTTGGTAGCATTGAAAATAATACTTATCAGTAGATCAGACAAGTTGTCGTATTACAAAATAAATTTAAATCATTTTTATTGCAGTTATATTCGAAAATCTCGAATTATAATTAATCTATTTCGGGACAAAGAAGAGGGAGAGAGAAGAGGAAAAAAAAAGAAAAGAAAGAAAACGATTATCTGTAACATTCAAGCCGCACCTGCTGCGAGATGTTACTGCATTTCGTTGCTATAGTAACCGGCTAATAGTTTCGTTATCAGAGTTACCGCACACCCATCCATTACCTACATTTATTCCATCCCATCTTTACTTGACTAGAAAAAGAAAAAGTCTCCGCGATTAAATTAATGCAACTGTTCGACTTCTTTTGAACTGCTATTACTCTGCTATTTCTATGTTTGTGACATTTATATGCCACGTGGTCTTTAGGTCAATTCGTAAAAAAGAAAAAAAAATAATGTATTAGATTTATCTGTTATTTTTCTTTTTGTTCTGCCGTATCAAATTCGTTATTTGCGTATACTTTTCTTCTTCTTCTGTTAAATGTAACTCGTTGTTATACAATTTAATGACTCGTTTAAACGTTTTTATAAGATTATTTACCCTGTTATCACCAATTTTTTGAATTATCAGATGAAGTGAGTAATGTTACATAGGACGAAACTAGTAAACGAACAAGTGATTAGTATTTGGGAAGAAATTTGTGTTCTTGGAAAGATAAATCCACTCACTTTTAGACATGGAAGACGTATTGTCTGACGTTAACATTTATTTCTCCACCTCTTGGTTATCCATTGGTGTAAAGAATACGTATCAATCATAGTCTCCTGTCAGGAAAGATGACCCTTTTTTTTGAAAGGGAGCATCCATCTTGCAGAGGAGTAACTCTATGTAATGAGTGTCTATTTCGTTGTCTCTAATACTTATTTGTCAATGTTATGACCACTATCTGTTATTTAAACTTTTTATCTTTAATATAAAACGATGAATTTATTATTTTTAATGTGTTACATCATTTATATAAAGTATTTTGTAACAAATCTTACACTGTATTTTGGTTCTCGTATACCAGTCGACCCCCCTATAACACTGTTGATTTTTCCGTTTTATATGAATTCCGTGTTGTACGAGTCACTTAGATTTTACAAATACACAACCTGGCATACGTATTTGTAAAATATAAGTGACTCGTACAACATGGAATTCATATAAAACGGAAAAATCAACAGTGTTATAGGGGGGTCGACTGGTACTTTCGAGTTAAGTTATAAATGAAATATATCAATTATTTTATAATAATAATTTCTTCTCTTTAAAGAATATATTTTTATATATAGAATTAATAATATATTTTTTTCTGTTATAATAAAATTATAAATTCATTATACACGCAACTAAACAGAACTCGATTTATCTCTCTTTACCATGCTATTTACCATTCTTCGAGCTCCTTTAAAATAAGCAGGAATATAAATAACGTCAAAGAGAAGATAGGAATTTACGAAGAATAAAATATCTCTGGTTATTTTAAAGCCAAGAGTACTTTATTTTATTCTTTTTTATACTTATCTACCTATAGAACCTAAACAAAAAAAAACTATTTTTTTTTTAATTTCTAAGAATGAATTTGATATATTAAAATTCTTTCTATATATATCGTACAACAAAACGATTTAATTAAATAAAAGCATTTAATCTAAAGATAGAAAATAAATTCTATTAACATATTTTCATCATAAAATGATTAAGAATAAACCCTAAAATAAACAAATTTTGAATAAAAGTACATTGAGTTTTTTCCTTTTGATCCATACCAGATGACTTCTTTTCCTAATAAAGATTTATTATATTAAATTAATATAAAAATAACTTATATATATAGACGAAAATTGTAATTATATAACGATATTCTAAACAAATTAAATATTATAATAACTGTCTATTGTTATCCTCTAAATATTTTATGTATTATTTAATAAAATATCAAGCGATTAAAAAAAATATAATTTTTACATTTATTTTAATGGAGAAACTCGTTCTTTTCTTTTTCTTCATCCCTTCCCCTTTATTGGCAGCCATCTTGGAAAGAACAATAAAATTTCTTTTGTAATAATAACTTCTCGGTTAGATTGTAAAATGTAATAATAAAATAAAAAAAATACGCCTAGAGGTTTTGTAAATATTCCAATTTGAACATTTTACGTTCTAGTAATACACAAACTATTATTTTAATAGTTCATTTTAAAGTAAATTTAACAGACGTTACAAATCATTCAATTTATGACCCAGCTAAAATATATTCAGTTATATAAAAAGAAAAAAACATGTAAATGTTTTTTCTACTAGAGAATTTTATTACTATTGTTAATAACAATACTCGATTGGATAAGCTACAAAAAACATTAGGGAATTTAATCTTTTGCGGTCAGTTGCATCTCGAAGTTATAAAGCGGAAAATCGCAACGTAAAAAAAAACTATAAAAATTAAAAAAAAATTCCATAAATAATGAATTATAATTTTAATTTAAGATAAATAAACTATTGTATATTTTGAATTTTTATTATATATATTTTTTTTCTTGTTGTTAGAAAAACAAACTTTACTAAGAACAATTTAATATATTTCCTTTATCTTTTCTCTCTCTCTCGCATATCTTTGAATAAGTAGATAGGAGCGAGTTATGTTTGAAAATTGAGAAAAATCTTTTTGAAAATTCTCTTCGAGTTTCGACACTTGTATAAATCTATCTTTACAGTCAATAGTTCTGTCTTATATATCTCTCACTCGCAGCATCGACTTATCTGAATGGAGAAAAATACGATTTCCTTTTTTTTTCTTTTTCTTCCCCCAAGAGCTAGTAAATAGAACATACCAGTTGCTATTCTCAACGTTGATTCTACATCTCGGCAACAAACTCGCTCAATTTTATCGGTTCGCCCTCTCTAACTCTCCGCTCTTTGAGGCCCCACGGCGCTAAAGGTGACATCATCCTATCCGACATTCAATATCGCTACCGGTATTTTGATAAAGATTCTACAAATTTCCCATCCCACAACTAAAACTTCGGTTTGTAAATAATGAATCGTAGACAATAAAATTGTCTTCTTTTAATTATATTTTGACTCTTGCGAAATCTCACCCATCTTCTTCTTCTTCCCTTTTATAGTATTTTTAAAAAATATATTGAAAGTTTTCTATTGTTATTCTGGATAAATTTTCGACTTAATACTGTAGTGTACACTATTTATACCGTCTGGACTAGAATGTGAAAGTTTCCATCGGCATTGACAAACTCCATTAGACTGTCCGTTTGACTTCTCGGTTGGAATACAGATTACCGACCGAAATTCCCCCGAAAACCACTGAAATTTAGATGTTAACAGAATCTGTACAATGCGTGTCGTTCTGCCTCCCACAGTTTAACGTTATTCCCTAAAGGATAAAGAATGAAGGGAATGGTCATAAACTCTTGGTGAAATATAGAGGTGCCTCTTCTGTCAGATGGATTTGTTTTGTTCCTCCTACCCGAGGTTTCCTTTTTTCCCCCTCTCTTTATGACGTACATCTGTAAACAGAATGATATTGAACAACATTTGTTCTGCTTGTTTTTAGACCTTTCTGTGTATTAAGAAGTTAGTCCCTGCGGATCTAGATGATGTCATCACGGATATGATGCTATCGGATGTCATTTATAAATGTCTGTCTGTTTAAATTTTAGGGATCGTTTTGCTTTATACAGCCTCTGCTATTTATCATATTCACGAGGGTGTCGGCGTGTAATGTATTCTTTGAAAATTTCTACATTGTCATGATATAAACATTACACATACTTATTACACACACAAAAAGAATTCAATAGAATTCAATTTGTTATATATCTCCTATTATTTTCCAATATGATTTTACAATATAGTCTATCTTTATTTAAACAAGTTATATATATATGTTTATTATATATTTAACTGTATATCCAGAAAAATCATCACTTCATAAATAAAACTTAACGATTTGTTTCTTTAATAAACAAAATTTATCGCACGACATTCGGGGATAAACATTTTTTTTCGCTGGAAAATATCACAATTGATGTCATCTCAGACATTGGGCACCATTAGTTGTACAAAATAGGATGTTGTTAGGTAAGGTGTGGCCGGTCATTCTGACCAAGTAGATGAGGCACCAGGGGAATAGTCCAGTTTACGACCAAGTGGGGTCTGAGACCGAATGTTCCCTTCTGGAATTTCTTTGAGTTGTTTCTTGACGAGTTTCCATGCTTCGGGGAATTTGTTCTGTTGTTTTTTCTTACTTTCAAACATTCTTGTTTTGTATTTTATGAGTGTTGTTAACGTTGTGACAAATGTAAAGAGTTTCATTATCGTAAAATGTATCTATTGTTCGAAATGTTTAAGGGCCTGCCATAGTAGACTACGTAACTAGATTTTAAAACCTTTTTAACATGGTTACGTCATCGAAAATAAAATAAATTCAATTAAAAATTATTCAAATTATAATTAAATGTTCCAAAATAACTTATCAATACGCAATTTCTGTTCATCATTTCCTATTATAGAAAGTACAGTAATGATTGATACTTTCTGTTCATTAAATCATTGAAATTAGTATTATTTAATTATATTAATTTCAATAATTATTATTTTAAAATTAACATTATTATTGAAAATTAAACTGTTCATCACCATTTCATGGAACTGAATCTAGTTTTCTAATCACACACAATTCATTATTACATTATACTAAAATCGATTGTTTTCCGTTCAAATTAACTTGTTTAAGATTAATCTACAGTTTAAATTTTAACACGATAATATATTTCTTTTTATACAGAAAGACCAAAATATATGACAGCCTACGCTTGTGAAGGAAGTAAATTACATATAAAATGCGACGAAGGCCAACTGATAAATCTCATCCGAGCAAACTATGGACGTTTCAGCATAAGCATTTGCAACGAGCATGGAAATTTGGATTGGAGCGTGGACTGTATGTCTCATAGATCATTCAGGGAAATGCAGCAAAGGTAAGGGAAGAATGAAATGTTTTTTCCATTCTCTTACAATTCCCCTGTAATATTTAATTCCCTACCTTACTACCAGTCAGCGCCACATAACAGAGATTCTCTCTCTGGAGGAACGAAAAGAGGGTCATAAATGACGCGAAAACCACAAATTAGTTTTTATGTTTTCGCTCGGTTCTAATTATCTTTCTGAAGAGCTTTTATGAACCTATCCGGAATAAAACTATTTCTTTTCTCCTCTACAGAAAATTAAACTCGACAATTGCATTCGTTTAATAATGCAGTCATCAAAAGCATTTTAGGTGAAGAAGAAGAAGAAGAAGAAGAAGATTCCATTTTTGATAAGTTTACGTATAAAAAAAACACAGAAAAATTGTTGTATTTTTCAGAAAATATCACGAGAATAAATGTAAAATATATATTTAAATGCTTTCAAAAACGAACCGGAACGTTTATCATAAATATTTCTTTTAAAAATTTTGTTGTGGAATGTGCAAAAATGCATAAAAAATAACGGTGTTTTTTGAGTATTCGTATAAAACATATATCTTAGATTATCATAACGTACTCACTAAAGGAAAAAAAAATACGCAAAATATTTTCTCTTCTGGGATTTAAAATTGAAAAACATCGAAGTTCAAAATTATTTATTTTCCTTTTTTTCTTTTTGAGATTATTCGTATTATTTTTGTATTCAAAAACACCAGAAAGAAATGTGATTCTGTTTATTTTATGGAATGTCATTATCATCATTTTTTTTTAAAATGCTTTTAGTTTTTTCTAGAGAAATTCTGTTCTAGGAATAAGACCGAAAATAATACGGAGGAGGAGGAAAAAAAAAATTCACAATACGCAGATAATTAATTTAGTTATGAAACAAAATGGAAAACTATACAATAAAAAAAGAACACAATGCCAGATATGCAAAGGTTTATCTCGTGTATAAATCATTAAAAGTATTATTTTTTTGAGTATATAATTATCCGAATACAGTCGACCTCCCCCTATAACGCTGTTGATAATTCCGTTTTATATGAATTCCGTGTTGTACGAGTCACTTAGATTTTACAAATACGTGTGCCGGGTTGTGAACGGCTCGCATATTTGTAAAATCTAAGTGACTCGTACAACACGGAATTCATATAAAACGGAATTATCAACAGCGTTATAGGGGGGAGATCTACTGTACTTGAATATATTCTAAATATAGAATGCCTTATGTATTTCTTAATTCAAAATTTTTAATATTTTAATATCAATTAAGATCTATTGTTCTAGATATTATCTATAAAATTCCTAGCCAATTAGCTTCTATTACAGATAAGAAATTTATAGTACAGTATTATATTTTTTCCTATATTCCTTGCCTTCTTATCAGTGGCGCCATCTTTTGATATATTTTGTAATTTTTACTTAAATTAAAATTACGTTAAAACTCTTTAAAAAATAATATTATTAAATAAATAAATTCGAAAAAAAATTATAAAATAAAATTTTATTTTGGTTGCTGTAATAAGAAATGTAATAATACATTATATAAAATTGACGACCGAAATCTATCACGTGGTTAAAGTTTAATATATTTGCTCATTTATTCAACACAGAATGATCCATGTCGGTTTTAGAAAAGTAGACACTAATTCGCTCTTCGTTACGGAACATTAGGGAGATGTATGATACAGCAGTCGATTCATTAAGGAACGTTACTACTACACAAACATCACTGAAGTATAACGTAACATGTGTAGAGGAAAACTGATTCAAATATACTTTTATAAATGAGAAAATATATTTACTGGATTTTTAACATTTTTAATGTTTTCTTAACCCATTAACGTAACCTTACGCTATTTGTTTATTAATGCGTATGATTTTATGCAGCACGAGACGACTTTTCATTCATAGAAATTTACAAATTTTTCATTCATAAATTGTTCGATTCATTAAAAGTAAATCGTACTATTACGCGTATTTACTAGAATATTAAAGTANTATAATAAAATTTCATATTGATTAATCTAATGCATCCTCTAGAAAATAATTTGCCAGCAAATTATAATGCTTTAATATATTAACAAATTAATTATTTTGGGCTTATTTTATTTATTTAACCTTATATTAACTGTTTATTTAATTTAGTCAAACATTCTTGTACATGTAAAATAGATATGTATGGTACAGTACAAAAACTGTATATTAATTATGAATTTAAAAAAAAATGTTAATTACTTTCGAATATTTAATATATTCCTGTAAAATGTTTGGCTAAATTTTTGAAAAATTTTTTTAACAGCAAATAAAAATTTTTATACAATAATAACCATTTTATTTCTAATATTTTAATAAATAGAAAAACTTCAAATTTTAAGAATAATTATAATAGTAACAGTATAATTTTAATTTTCATAAAGTCCTAATATTTATGACTGAAAATATTTACAATAATACAGTATAATTAAATGGATTAAGAGCTATTTTAACATTTTAGTTCATTATATATTTTTGTAAAAATTTACATGTGATCAGTGATAAATAATTTTGTATAACTTAATAAATGTTGCAAAATTCATTTCCCTTTCCCTCCCTTCCCCCCTTTTTTTTATAGAAGTTACTGTATATTGAAGACTGCTTTCAAATATTAATTTTTAATAAAATTTTATTTTGGTTGCTGTAATAAGAAATGTAATAATACATTATATAAAATTGACGACCGAAATCTATCACGTGGTTAAAGTTTAATATATTTGCTCATTTATTCAACACAGAATGATCCATGTCGGTTTTAGAAAAGTAGACACTAATTCGCTCTTCGTTACGGAACATTAGGGAGATGTATGATACAGCAGTCGATTCATTAAGGAACGTTACTACTACACAAACATCACTGAAGTATAACGTAACATGTGTAGAGGAAAACTGATTCAAATATACTTTTATAAATGAGAAAATATATTTACTGGATTTTTAACATTTTTAATGTTTTCTTAACCCATTAACGTAACCTTACGCTATTTGTTTATTAATGCGTATGATTTTATGCAGCACGAGACGACTTTTCATTCATAGAAATTTACAAATTTTTCATTCATAAATTGTTCGATTCATTAAAAGTAAATCGTACTATTACGCGTATTTACTAGAATATTAAAGTATTTTTTAAATTATTTATCACGTAAACCAGTAAATTTAATTTTTAATAGATAAAGAAATAAGCATTAATAATTAGGAGAACGTCTCAAGTTTTACTTCAGATCATTAGGTGATGATGACCTTTGAACCCCGATATAACCCATTATATACCAGTCGACCCCCTATAACACTTGATAATTCCGTTTTATATGAATTCCATGTTGTACGAGTCACTTAGATTTTACAAATACGTGTGCCGGGCTGTGAACGGCTCACGTATTTATAAAATTTAAGTGACTCGTACAACATGGAATTCATATAAAACGGAATAATCAACAGTGTTAAGGGGGGTCGACTGGTAGTACTATTACCCATTACCGTCACTATTGGTTCTGTTAATGTACAAAATTTCGTTCAAACACGTGGAGACATTACTCCTCCAAACGTGTAATTTATCAATTTGAGTGGCTGCTCTTTAAAAATTACATTTTTATTTAATAAATTTCTAATCATGTTAGGAATCAAGTTAATTTATCTATAAATCTATTTAGTGATAAATAATTTTGTATAACTTAATAAATGTTGCAAAATTCATTTCCCTTTCCCTCCCTTCCCCCCTTTTTTTTATAGAAGTTACTGTATATTGAAGACTGCTTTCAAATATTAATTTTTAATAAAATTTTATTTAAAATATGTATTATATAAATATTTATAGGACAAAATTACTTGATTAATAATACAATTTTAACATTTAATAAATGATAATGATAATTTTTTCATATATACTATATATACATATTTATTTATTTATTCCTTCATGACTATTAATTGTGTTGTTTTCTAATTATATTTTACATTTTAAATTTAAATATATTTTATTAATCTGCATAAGTTACATTTGTAAATAAATCTTGTACCAAGTTTACCAAATGTTTAAATTTTCCAGGAAGTTAAAGCTGTATTCAGTTTTAAATGTTTGATAATGATAAACATTCTAAATTATTTTATTTTATAAAAATTAACGAAATGTGTAATGGTATTCCAAACAAACATAAAGAAAATAGCTATTCATCTTTCAAAAGAATCTGTGTAATTCTGCATGAAAAACTTTTTAAATTAATCCATGAAAATCTGTTACTTAATAGTTATAATACTCATTACACCATATAATTCTTTGTTGAATGAATTCTGTCTGAAGGCAAATTAGTTCTATGCACATTAAACAATATAATTCTTTGCTAAATTAATTTTATCCAGAAGCAAATTAGTTTCCTAAAAAATAAAAGAGATAAATAACAATCTTTGTTGCAATTTCTACCAATTGCGAGATTCTTAAAATTCCAACAATAATATAAATGAATAAATTTATTTTAATTACTCAAATTATTCATATTTTTCTAATGAATTTATGAAATTATAAATTGATTCAAAATAAATATATTATTGAATTTTACAGACAACAATCAACAAGTTAAATTTTGATTAATAAAATAAATGAGTAATCTGGACCAAATTAAAAAAAATACTCTGGCAAGTTGAGAATAAACATCAAAATTAAAATTTGAAAAAAAAAAATCAACTATCCATTAATAAAATGGCAGGAAATATGTTCATTAATTGTGTTTTGCAGATGTAGTCTGAGAACCCAGTGTATAGTCAAGGTGGACAGTGATACTTTTGGAGATGGATGTCCAGATACCTATAAATACTTAGAAGTGCAATACACGTGCACTTTAGGTTGGTTGTTGTTCTTGTGTTATTTTTGTGCTGAATAATCCAAGTTATTTCCATAAATGTATGGAAATAGCTTGGAAAATGCACATCTTAGTGCAATAATCTGATTGTGTCCCAATAATGCTGCCATCAAAAGCACTTAAATTATTAAAAAATAAAGTGTGTGTTAAATTTTTTTTTTTTACATTAAAATTTTACTTGATAGCAGCATAGTGTTTTTGATGAATGTGTGATTTGTGTAAAATAGAACTTGTTCTGTCTGTTAAAGCTGTGGTAGGAAGAAAACCTGCAGCCTTCCAGCATCAAGTACTATATTTGGTGATCCATGTCCTGATACAGTGAAGTATTTGGAGGCCCACTACCAATGTGTGCCAGGTATAACAGTTAAAAAGTTTACATCATCCCTCTAATAGTTTTAAAAAGTTTATTTTTTTTTTACAGTTTCAAGTATTGGGGGATATTTTTTGGTTGACTGTTCATAATTTTATCATTTGATGTCTTATTATATCATTTTTATTTTGCTTGCATTATTTTTTATGTAAGGTGAAGGTTTGCATGTTTTCATTATTCTGGCAGTTACATTAAAGATAAAATTGACGACCGAAATCTATCACGTGGTTAAAGTTTAATATATTTGCTCATTTATTCAACACAGAATGATCCATGTCGGTTTTAGAAAAGTAGACACTAATTCGCTCTTCGTTACGGAACATTAGGGAGATGTATGATACAGCAGTCGATTCATTAAGGAACGTTACTACTACACAAACATCACTGAAGTATAACGTAACATGTGTAGAGGAAAACTGATTCAAATATACTTTTATAAATGAGAAAATATATTTACTGGATTTTTAACATTTTTAATGTTTTCTTAACCCATTAACGTAACCTTACGCTATTTGTTTATTAATGCGTATGATTTTATGCAGCACGAGACGACTTTTCATTCATAGAAATTTACAAATTTTTCATTCATAAATTGTTCGATTCATTAAAAGTAAATCGTACTATTACGCGTATTTACTAGAATATTAAAGTANAAACTTCAAATTTTAAGAATAATTATAATAGTAACAGTATAATTTTAATTTTCATAAAGTCCTAATATTTATGACTGAAAATATTTACAATAATACAGTATAATTAAATGGATTAAGAGCTATTTTAACATTTTAGTTCATTATATATTTTTGTAAAAATTTACATGTGATCAATGTATGCATAATATAAATAAGTAAATAGCATACTATGTTATGCAAAATTTTATGATTTTACATATTAAATGCCTTAAAAATTAAACTGGCCAGAACTATATTCAAATTGTCAACTTTTTCACTTTTTATATAATATTTTAAAATTTTATTTATCTATCTAAATAGACTCAGAAATAGATTCTTAGTTAATTAAATTTTGACCAACGACTTTGACGGCAATTATAAAAGAATAGTAATATTTTGATTTATATGTTACACATGTAATATCAACTAAACGGCATTCATTTAAAAGCGACAGTATTGCAAAATCAGGGCCATTTTAAACATTTTTGAGGTTCCAGCTCGACTTCTTTAGAAGCATTACATATATTAGATGTAGAACAAAAATATTAATAATGAACATATATCTCTGAAAACAAAGGTAAGGCATCCAGCAATAAATGGGTATACTCATGCATTATACCTGCCTGCTCATAATTATCAGATTAGAAATCTGGTACAGTAAACCCAGTTAAGATGTTCCCACATGAGATGTTTTTCTGCCTAAGTCATTCAAATTCTGTGGTCCTCTCATTTTGCCCATAAGATGTGTTAAAAAATTCCCATGTAAGGTGTTCCCATGAGATATTACAAAATAAATATTGGTCTGGTGAAGCAATTTTTACCTGCTTAAAACAATCATGTTAGTGACTAATAGTGTTTTTGTCAGAAAAGCTTGCATAGGAATCGTGATGTTGAGTGAAGAATAAAATTATTACTATTGATATGCTTAAATATTTTTATTAACCCTGCGTAAAGCGCGCCAAAGATTCACGCACAGTTGTGCGCGCGGGGTGCTATATAACCCTCGTGTTCAAAATTCAATTTTTCAAAACTCATAGTTTTTTTCGCGATTTTTTCATTTTGGATGTTTGTGGGCATGTGTTTTTGATGTATTAGTGAAAAAAACTACTTCAAATATATCGTTTTTATTTATTCGTAACGAAAAACAGAAAGTATCCCGTTTTTAAAAATTTTTCAAAAAAAATTGGTCGACTTCAAGAGCGTATTTTACAAACTGTAAACAAGTCTGATGCTATCTAAGCTGTCAATCGTCTTCCTGCATGTGTTTTTTAACTACCACAACAATAAATTCTTTGTCCGAAACCCCGGGCCAAAAATATCTATGAATTTCCAAAAATACACCATCTAAAATCATACAGCAACTAGGAGGAAAAGTGGAGATTATTTGCAGATAACATCGATAGTAAACTTCTTTTGCACTGTAATTGGTTAATTTATATGTCTGTTATTAGATCGACCTATAAAAACAATTGCTAGAAATATTCCCGCGAAATGCCACGCCCCCGAAGGCCACCACACGGAAGTATGTAAACAATCGCTACAAAATCGCGTGTTTTAATCTTTTTTTCCACTTCTAATTTGCTAATAATAAGTCGCTTGAAATTATTTAGACGAATAAACATGTTTTCAACACCATTTAGCAATAAATATCGCCAAAAAACGCCACCTTTCAAACTGACAATGTTAAGTCTATGGGAAACTTTTTTGCCGTTTATTGGCTTTAAAAATTTTGTTTTTACGCCTTTTATGCTCTAATTGGTCATTTCTATCATGACTGACTCTATATCAACCAATAAGCTTTCCCTCAAAACACGAAGTCAGATCGACCCACCTCCGTTAGTCGCGCGAAAAAAAATTACACCGTTAGGCGCGCGGGGTACTATAGCACCCGACTGATTTCCATTATAAGTCTATGCAAAAAATTATTTTCGTGCAAAATTGAAATTTTTTCGGTGCAATCTTTACACTATGGAAGGAAGGTACTGAAAGCATCATTTTTAAACACAAAAAATTTTAAAAAATACACGCGTTTAAACACGCCGGGGGTTCTATATAACCCCGCGCGCGTAACCGAGGGTTAATATTCCAAGAAGTTTTAATAAATATTGTATTTTTAAATACAATATATAACTTATAATCCTTTGATCATATATTTCAGTGATCAGTATTTCAATAAATACATAATTTTAGCATTTATGTTAATTTTAATAATCCATTCGAAAATTTTGAAGATTTTTAATAATCCATTTTAATAATTGAAACTGTTGATGATATCTGTATTTTACTTAAAAATTATAAAATATCCATTGCATAAAATTATAAAATATACATTTAAAATGTTAATATTAATAATTTTATTTTTAATTGTTTAACTATTACTCTTTGGAATGCCTTTATGAATTCTACATTGTATTATTTGTATTTTTTTATGTACTTTTAAAGGGATTTTATATTGTTTATTAGAAAGATACTTCTTGCCTATGGCATTACATTCATAATCAATAGATACATTTTTCAATGACTTTATGAAAATTAAAATAATTTAAAACATTATTATTTTATATAAATTTCATATATGTAAATAGAAAAATACTAGACTTTTTCTCAAAAGTATATTATCAATTTTTAGAAGCAACTACAGCAATAGCAACAAGACCATCACCACCAATAATTTTTCCTCCCACTGTCCCTATTTATGTTCAGTCATCAACTTTGGCTAGTCAGACAGTGCCTGATTTATCATCTGCTACATCAGTCACTGAAATTTCAGATATTTCACCACAAATCAAAACATCTTTAACTACTAAAAGTTCTATGGTTACTCCTGCAATTATAAATACTTATTCTGTTTCCAGTCTTTCAACACCAGTGCCAACAAAATCACATATTATGAATAAAGGTAAGCAAAGTCTATTTTTCAAAATTACTAAGAATTTTTTTAAGATTTTTAAAAATTTTGAATAATAGAATATACTATTTTAATTATATTTCTTTAAATGATTATAGTTAGATTAATAACAAATAAAATGCAAATGAGCAATTATTTATTGTGACATTGTCACAATGCCGGGCTGCAATTTTTAATCATGTTTTTAATTAATTTCATTTAAAATATATGCTCTCCACCTAAAATTAGTACTGTAGTGTCTTGCCTCTGTATATCATACTTTTCCTTTAACAATAGTCATGCTGGTCATCTATCTAATATCTTTCGGGGAGGAATTTTAAATTGAAATAACATGACTTTCAGTGCAAACCAGAAGTTCATATACAGTTAATCGGGGCCTCCAGCCCCTAACGTTTCCATGTCTTGTCTTTCATCTATCTAGCTCCGTTCTCAAGATTACGGAAAGACAGATGGACGACAGTGGGAATTTATACATCGATAGATGAGTTTTACTTGTTTTGTTTTAATAATCAGATTTAAATTTTAACTGGTATATTTACTTATAAGAGACTTGTCACTTAACTCAAATATGAATTTAAATATTTTAGTGTAGTAAAATTCATTGAAAAAATTGTAGACCTATAAATTTCCACTGTTGTTGTCTCTCGGTCTGTCCTTCCTCAATCTCAAGAACAGTGTTAGATAGATGAAAGTTGAGACTAGATATGGAAAGCTTAAGGGGCAGGAGGCTCCAATTAACTATATATATGAACTTCTGGTTGAGACCAGAAGTTCATATATAGCAGTTCACATGATTTCAATTCAAAAATTTTTTCCAGAATAGTTATATACATGACCAACATGACTGTTGTTATCAGGAAAAGTATGATGTACAGGGGCAATACAATACTAATTTTTGATCAAGAGCAAATATTTTAAATGAAATAAATTAAAAACATGATTAAAAATTGCAGTCCTGCATTGTGACAATGCCACAATAATTTTTGCTGATTTTAAATTATTTATTATATATTTATTTTCAATATATATTAAATTATTTGTTAATATATATTTATTATTATTTGTTAGCATATTAAAATACAGGATTTCATAAAATAAATGTAAGAACTCTCATATAAATGTATCAGTATACAGTATAATAATATAATTATTAATTATTTTAGCTAATAAAAATTCAGTTAAAATAACACATCAGTCTCCTATTGAAGATAATTCTATACGTCATTGTCCACGTTTCACAGCAAGAAATGTTATTTGGAGTAGAACTAGTGCAGGAGTCACATCTAAACAACTTTGTCCTGGTGGTACTACAGGTAAAAAAAATCATTTAAAATAACAGTGATTATAAATTACTTTTACTTTTTTAATTTTTTATAAAGTACACTAAAATTTTTAAATTTAGGTGAAGCTCTGTGGTACTGTGATGAAAGAACATTAAAATGGAATCCTAGTCATCCAGATATGAGTGATTGTAAATCATTATGGCTTATTAGTTTAAAAGAGAGGGTATCTATTTTTTTATATTTATTTTTAGTTTCAATTACTGTTGTAAATACTTTTTATAATAGAAAAATAAATCTTCATAGTTGCAGCATGGAGATTCTGTTATCAATATAGCAGTTAAACTTGCTGTAATGGCAAAAACAAATATGATGTATGGCGGTGATCTTATGCAGGTAACAGATATTATTCAACAACTTGTTTTAAAAATGGCAAATAGGATAATAGAATATCCGGATGGAAGACAACGCCATCAAATAGTAATGGAACTAGTACAGGTAAATATATATGTCTTTTTAAGGAAACAATTTTGAAATAATAATAAATTTTACAGAATTTTAATTACAGTATTTATTTGTTTTTTATATATATTAGGAATAATTTTAATTGCAATAATTTTTGCTATTAAAATTATTGCTATTATGCAGCTGGAGGTGGTACAAAACCCTCATTCAGAGCTTGAATCTTACCCATTACTGTATATATCAGCTGGCATCATATTAACAGAAAAGTATCTAAATCTGTTTTGGTTGTGGATTGTATATTTTGATAACTAATATTAAACTGAATCATTTCTGACAAAAGCTTTTTTCTTATAAATTCGGTCTCCAAACTCAGTAGATAGTAGTACCTTGTGTAACCTTGTGATAGTATTAGAATTTTTTAAATATTTAAAGTTTTAACAATATATTGAATATCCAAATTGCCTTAAAGATAATAGTGCCAATAAGCAAAACTGCTTAATTATATTAAACAATTTTGTTGATATATATGCAATTAATAAGTTTGTTTCAGAACAAACTGTAATTAGATAAAGATAGACTCACTTATTTAAGACTATTATATAATATTTATTTGAGCGAATTATTTTGAAACCTTTTGCAATTAATTATAAAAATATAAAATCTAATAGGTACAAAAAAATTAAGTAACAATTAACATAACATAATTATACAATCAATTAAAATTAATATAAAAATTTGTAGGCATTTAACTTTAACTATAAGAAAATTATTTAATACCATGTAACTAAAATATGTAGTGATTATTTTTGATATTTACATATAAATGTAATATTTCATTAAATAAATAATTGTTAAATAGTCTTATAATTAAATTATTATCTTGTTTTTCTAGTCAATAGTGGATATTTGCAATAGTTTACTAGACGATTTTCAAAACGATGCTTGGAATGATTTACCAGAATTAAATCGCAGAACTGTAGCTTCAGCACTTCTACGAGAAATGGAGCAAAGTGCACTTCTATTAGCCGAATCTCAAGATGGAGAAAATCATTTTAGCAGAGTACAAGATAATGTTTGTAAGTTCCTATTATCGTATTTATTATTTTCTCAGATGAGCAATTATTTATTGTGACATTGTCACAATGAATTTTTAATCATATTTTTAATTTATTTAATTTAAAATATATGCTCTCCACCTCAAATT